AAATTTATGCCACAAATTTGCAGCTTAAAAAATATCGAAATAAAAAATTGATCTCTAAAATAAAATATTTATCTTCCAACTATTGGAAAACATTAAAGTTGCAATAAGTATTTCATGGTTTTATGTTAATAGGGTGTGAAAAATGAATAAATTGAAAAATAAGTTTATTATGTTTATTTCTGGTGGATTACATATGGCTGCCAGTCTTAACAACAGCTTTCTTATTGTGTACATTGCGGGTCAACATGTTCAGTACAACCATATTTATTTGTATGTGCGGTTTTGTTTGCGAATGTGATCAATTTTTGATTTCATTCTAACCGAATTAAATTAGCATGATGATGAGTTCATAAAACTCAAAATTATGTTTAAAAAAGTAATAATCAATGGGATGGTCAGTGGTCTACATAATGTACCCAGGAACTTTTTCGGCTCTCTAAGGCAAGGCAGCGCTCTGTTGTGAGCCGATCATCTTGTCTGACAAGCTGGTAGATGCCACACTCCGTCACATCAGTGGGCAACTAAAACACACCTACCAGACCACTATTTCATGAAGTGTCCAACCCGTAGCCGCAAACCTAAATTTTAATCAGCATAGTTAATTTAAAATAAATACTTCACAAGTAACAATCAATCAAGGCCTAATAAGTGATCAGCTTTTTTAAGCCAAATAAGTTTTTTTATGCAGTACCGATCGATCATATTAATTTTAATTTTTTTTGCTGAGAGAAATGATAAAAACTTATTTAAAGAAGTATTTTATGCATATCTTTAAACAAAACATATATATTTTTTAAATAAAATAAATGGTATAAATTTTTATCAATTTCAAAAATCAATCGATCAATAAGTTAATAAATAAATGAAATAAAAACAAATTGAAATAGCCTGTAAACCAATTGGAATTAATGACTTTAACAAACAAAGCAAACCCCCACTGTCTATTACTGAGAAATGCTAAAACTTTCATTATTTCGTCATTTTTTAACAGAATGTAAAATTTGCAGTTAGCAACCCTTCCCCCGAAAGTCTTTCTAAGATTTTAAAATTTTCAGAAGATCGTTAGATATCGAGATAAATTTTTACATGCATTTGCGCATTTGATGTATTTGGAGGTGTTTTGGCATTGAATCGCTTAAGATAAAATTTTCACCTACTACGTTTAATGAATGAAAATGTCATTCATTAAATGGAAGGAGGGGGGTCCTTCCATTCCGTTACTAAATTTGTGGATGACCCCAAATGTTGGAAAAGATATAAATAATCCAAGAAAATCATTTCTTCCAAAGATTTCATAGCAAATCAGCATCTAACAATACGCTTTCAATCTCATCGAATAAAGATAGACTCCCAACTAAACCCTAAAGGTTGATTTTCCGCGGCTTTTGAGTCCATCTTTGTGCCATGATGTCTGAAAAAAAAATGTATTTAAACGTCAATATTCTCTAAAAATTGAGAAAACTTGAGCGGTTACGCATTCCGAAAACGGTCGTTGAAGAACAGTTGTGGGACTCGTATGACTCCCGGAAACAAGAAACAAAAATTCAACTCCAAATAAATATACCAGCTAGCTGCTGCGTATCATCAATTTCTGGTCAATACATAAATCCTTGCTCTTTGACCCCTTGGTCGATCATAATATTACCACCCATTAATTAGTGAATGGGATCGATATTTCAACGTTTAGAGTTCATAATTCATACCCTAAGAATTCAAACTCCCAGTTTATTTCATAAACATCTAGTCATCATTCACTGGTCTTTTAAAGAATAGCTTATAATTATAAAGCAAAGATATCGATCAAAATTTTGACAAAATACAAATCAAAGCCTTCACCTGAATCACATTACACCATAAGAAAATAGAGTAAACCAAAATGGAGAACTTAATATAGTACTTTAATGTCCTGCACATCAAAACGCCCTCTGAAAACCATTAACAGGTGTAACATTCTGAATTGAACATTTTTTTTAATGTTTGGAATATTTGTGAACATAATTTCGGTCGGTAGTGTACGGTTCATCCAGATAAAATCAAGCTCACTGAGCTGTTGCAAACATGTTAAATTGTATGTTACAATAATGTAGCTATTTTTCAAGACATCATGAAAAGTTCACAACAAGTATTTTTTACGTTGCAGATGAGTGAATATTAAAATTAATGATTCATATTGAAATACAACAACACGCAACGATTTGTCAACATAACTGCACCATTACGTATTATCGATGTTCCAGTTATGTTGAAAATAAGTAGCAAATGCGTAGTTTGAACAATCATAGAAGTTGTTGAGTATGTGCGTGCTTTAAACGTCACTTATCAGTAGCAATGTGACATCGAGTGGTAGCGACATCGGTGCAGCTCCTCCGCCAGCAGTCATCAGTTTTCAGCCTTATAAGCCACTAGTTCTGGCAATCCACCCGCTATTTGGTGCCGTTTCCAGTTCGCCAGCAGTTCCGGCAAATACGAGCTCCGTCTCTAACGGTTCCTCAACGGCCACATCTCCGTTCGGCGGTATCATCATATTTGCTGCCCCCAGATCATGCAACAACCAAACCATCGTCACCTCAGGCTTCTCACCGTTCTATTTAGTCCTTTGGAACTCCCGGTTGGTTGAGAGACTACGGCCACGCCAGCCGCTGTTGTCATTGTCTTTAGTCACCATCGTCCGCCGCCATCCGTAATCCTATCGTCCTCGTCGTGGTCTTCCATTTCCTATGCAGATGTTAGCACATGCATTACGATTTCTTTGCTTTTGTCAATGTTGCCATGGTAGATACTAGATGGTTACAACAAACCTTTACAGTGACAGCTTGATTCAGTTGGTTGCAAAACGAAGTTTGAAAACTTATAGATTCATACGCTTAATTGGAACAAGATTGCAAATAGGTTCTTCAACACATCTTGGTTCGTCAACTTTTTAGTAACATTTCGAAACAGTTGCTCAATAGGTACAAAAAACATATAGTTCACATTATGTTGCAACAAAGTTTTAAGAAACATAATGTTTTATGGAACTCTCATTTAACAAACACAACACAAGTTAGATTTGTTGCTCAAGTGTTTCATAAAATATCACGTAGCATATAATTTCATACCAATTTGAGTGTAACATGTTTGCTCCTCCCATGTGAGGCATGATTTGACAGGTCATCCAAGCAGTACATTGAAACAGTTGAGTTTCATTATTGTGACCTAAAGTAAATGAAGCAACAAAGCTGAAACTTTGTCATACCAAAATGTGTTTCCTGTACCATTTAAGGGATTTCTGGGCAACTAAAATAAAAAAAATAAAATAATTGAGATGTTTTCTGTGCTGCTTGGGCTGTATAAAAAATAAACGAAATGATGATGGGAAACAGTTCTGCTACCAGTTTCGCTGATCTTCTGGAAAACGGTCTCTTCAGGAGGTCATCAACAATATCCTGTTCCATGATTCCTATTTAATTTTGCACTATGTTATGAACAATATTCCATCAATGCGCTGAGGCTACTGAATAAAATGCAGTCAGGTAGTGAGAAAATTTAAAAATTTAAAAATTCTATGTGTGCGTGTAGGTAGGTATACAACGAATGACGGCTCTCCAAGATTCAATCAATTCAGAGAGAAACTCAAATGCAACGTAGCCTATACGTGTCAATTTATTCTCTTCTCTTTAAACTGTGCAAAGATAGAAGTGCACAAAATAAACACTAACACATCGGCAATTATGCTTACGGGACTTCAATACATATACAACTGATCTGGTTGTAAATACGAGCGTTTCTGGTGCACAAGCAAAAGTGCTCAGACTGGGAGAACTAAGCATGCGGTGGCTTTGGTAGAACGAATGCATATTTTCATTGCTTGTTTTGTGTCGCTCATTCGCCACGCCATAGAAGTCCAAAATGAGTTGTCTGCACGTGGTAAAATCCCAGCGTACCCGTACGTGAAAACAAGCTCGCTATGCCTCGCTTCTGTTTTTACTTACTTTTCTTTCAGTGGCGGGTAAAACGGAGGTTGAGCAGCGATGTGGTAAGCAATTCAGCTACTATCCAGTGATGTGGTGGACAATTCAGTTACTATCCATATGAAACCAATAAATAGGGAGGACAAAAATGGTTTTGATTGAGTATTAAATTTTTGCCTCTTAAATATTATGAAATATAAATTTTACTTTTTGAAAATTCGAGACTGTGCAGTGCACGAGGTGCACATATGGACGAGACGCCACTGGATATGATCATACTTAAACGTTACAAAGCTTCGTCATTTTAGCTTGTAAACCTCTTGAGATCCGAGTAGAAGAAATGAAATAAATTTACAAAATAACCGAGAAATCCCAGGTCTAAGAGGTCTAAAAATACAAATTTACCCTTTCAAGGGTGATTGGAATCCCATAGCTAATATAATAGGTGAAATTTGGCAAATCCTGGACGAACCAAGTAAGAGTTTTATATAATTGTATGTTGCTAATGCAACACGTAGCCGTAAGATCACTTTGTGTAATTTTCTGGAATAAAATTAATTTCGAAGATTACTTCAGATTCTTCATTGAATTCGATAATATTCTTGATATCTAAGTGAATACTTCTCTCCTTGACCGAAGAAAAAAGTAGCTCCTAGCCGTGTTTTTGGAAAAGTGTCTAAAAAAGCGAAACATTCTCTAAACCAGAGAAGAAAGTAACTTATGGCAGCGACGTGACGTCTGAGACAAAATTGTAGAAAAAGATAATTGTGAGAAAAATATACAAAAGATTGTTTGGTATTAAAAATTCTTAAAAAATGTTACAAAGCTAAGTATCTCAAAATGTCCTTGTTTGATTATTGTTTTTTTTTTAAATAAAAGCTCTTGAAAAATGCACACTTCTGAAGTGTTTAAAATTATCAACACTTAAAAATTGACAAAAAATCGTTAAACCAGAACTTTTGGTCAACATTTTGAACTTTTTTGTTAGGGTGTAAAAATTTTATCAAAAATTCTTGTTCTACGATTTTTGTCAGTTTTACATGTGTCCATTGTTTTGAACATTCCAAAAGTTTGCTTATTTCATAAGCAAAAATTGAAAAAAAAAAATCAAAAATCGGGCAACAATACTTTGAGATATTTGGGTTTTTACCATTTTTCTAGAATTTTAACTTGAAGGCAATTTGAAATCATTTTTTTTCCCAGAAAGACACTATTTTCTTTAAAACTTCGTGTTAGTCGTCATTTCGATCTGAATTGCCGTTTCCGTGCTATCATTTTTTGGAGAACTTCAAAGACTCCGTTTTATAAAATTTTACGAGGCCCAAAATGGCCGATTTTCAGCAAAAATGTGAATCATTGCCCATAACAAACACTTACGCAAAGTTTCATACAAATCGGAGAAGGTCGGTTCAATAATTAATTTTAGTTTCGCTATTTGTCCTGCAATTGATCAATAATTGCTTAAACTGAGAAGAAGTCTCTCCGGGCTCGAATTATGCACACCATTCTCCGCTTATTATTTCTATTTTAACGAACGACTGCAAATTGAAAGTCACGCTAAATCGCCCAGGCATGAAATGTAAACATTATAATTGCAAGAAGGACACGTTCCAGCACCACACTGCCATCATGCCTTCCTTCCATTCTAGTGGAGTACTCATGTTTCATTCAGCCAGCAATGACCGACGAAAAAAGAAAACCCATAACTTTACATCTACAGTGAAAGGTAAATAACAAGCTCGACAGGCTCGTAAAACATGTCCAAGGAAATTGCTAGCAACCAACTACGGAGTACCCTCGAAGATGGGATCGGGGTTGGGACGATGGTGGTTGGTTATCACTTGCTTCTCCACGGAGATGAATGATTCATGAGACGAGCGGGAAAGCGGAACGCAACGGCTTGTTTTACGATGGATGATCTGCTGCTGAAGGCTATTTGGACAAACTAATGAGCTCATCATTCCGGGATGAAAATGTGTCCTTTGGGTTTGCGGTAGATAGTAGTACAATAGTACATAATGGTTCCATTCACCCTATGAGCATTTCCGTCTGGCTCTCGGTGAACTGCTTCCGAGCTGTGTGGGCCTGAATAAACACATTCCTTTCGTCGTCTCATCTTAACCGTTTACGCAACTAAATTAAGGCAATCCGTATGGGCAGAGATTTATTTTTTACAGTGTTCTGTGTCTTCTTCGTCTGCTTTTATCTTGAACTGTATCTCTATCGTACCTAATAAAACTTTTGTATTTTCGTCGATCAACATCATAGAGTTTTCTCGATTTGTTTTGCAAAAAAAAAAATGGCGGTTGATCTTCCAACTCGGGATCAACTCACCGACAACAATTTGTACAACGTGGTTTGTTCGTGTGTTCTTTTGATTGAAATTGAGCCAAAATTGAAACAATCTTACTTGTGACAAAAATTGATCTGATAAACCAAATATCAAATGTTCGACGTATCACCACGGTTGGCAGCACTGCCCAGGGAAGCGCTCGCAAGATCCGCTACTGCCGTGGCCGTTGCGGTGACCGTGGGCTGCTGTAGGTTCGAAGCGTTCACACTAAGCTGATCTCGCTGCTGGTGTTGCTGGTACTGGTGGAAGGTGGCTAGTGTTCGGGGATCCAGTTCAAGGGTGATTTGCTTACCACTGTTGATGCTACTGTTGCTGCTCCTCCTATGGTTGGCACTTCCGTCGACATCGTCCGGCGGTGGCGGCGGTGGATGCCCACCTACGCCACCCAGGATGTTCCTGCTGCTGCAACCCTCCACGTAATTGTCATCGTCACCATAGTCGTCCTCGTCGTCATCGTCCGCTGGTTCACCACCCGGGATGTTGTGCACGATGCTCGGGAAGGTGGCCTTCTGCTTGGCGATCAGCTTTAGCAGCTCAATTGCGTCAAGAGCCTGTCGCTTTTCATGCAGGATTCTGTGTTCGGTGGGTGGAGGAGAAAAGATCAAAAAGAGGGTGGAGAAAAAGTTCGTTACGATGTTAGTTGCAACTGCATTTGGTTATAATGGTATGGGAAAACTTTTTTTTACAAGCGTTTCTACATTGTTAGCAAGGATAACAAACTTCGATCTACTGTATGCGGGAAGCAACATTGTTTGGTTTTTACATTTTAAATTCTACTGGTGCGGGGGAAACAACTTTACGTTATGAATGTACTCAATCGTGATTGTGATTCATCCGAATGACAATGAGGAACATTATTGAGGCTTGTGGTGAATAGTAATTCAATGTATGCATTTTCGTTTGATGAAAAAAATGAGACATTACGTGATCTAATTTGACGGCAGATCAAAAACAGCTTTTAGAAATTAATGGTGTTAATTTTTTATCATCAAAATAAGTGAGGATTGAGTACTTTCCACTAAGGAAGTCTACTTGTACGAAATAAGCGTATCTGTTAAAATATAAGAAATTATATCGGAATTAAAATCAAATAACTCATCCCACTCAACAGCTGTTCATCAAAATAAGGTATTCTCTATCCTGAGAAATTAAACAATATCAGTTTCAAAATTTGATTCCATTGTAACCAACTATAAATTTAATATTTTTGGATGAAATTTGACTAGTCTAAATAAGCCTAAAATCCTTAATTCAGTTGTCCAATTTAGGTTAAAATCGTATAGCGATCCGTGAAAAAATTAAGAACAACTTCAGATCAGTAGCAATTGCGCTCATAAGTTGTTTGACAAACTGATTTTATGACTAGATTTATTTCCCCAGGGTGGCCACTGGATTTGAGAAATTAAACTACCTGTGTCTTGCTGGGTGCCCAACATACTTTTCATGGTTTCATATAAACACAAAAATTCAGTAAATTCAGTTTTCACGCGTTTTTTGATTACGTATACTACGTCTTACGGAAGGTAAATCGAAAATCTAAAATTGCGACCGTCACGAAAAGGTGTAAGGTTTTGAACGCTTATAACTTTGTCATTTATAGATGAAATTAACATCTAAATACACCAATCGATAGGAAATAACTTTCATAATCTGCTGCAATAAACGCTTTTTTTTCAATTTTCCATAACAAACTGTTGAAAAATGTACAAATAAAAGGGATAATTTTATCACTGTTTTCATGAAATAAACGTTATCCCCAAACCCAGTCGTCATAATCGAGTACCACTTGGTTGCACATCGTGCTGCTTGAATCTGAAAAGTTATAAAACAGCGCTGCTTTTGTGCCTCAACTCATTTTCGCTTCGGACGGTGAGTAAGCATTTAGCAGCAGTAGCAGTAGGAAGGCAGCGGTTCTTGTCAAGCGCGCAGCGCAGCGTTCGAGTTTTGCACCTCGAACCTTACGCATCGTTCCCGTGGAGATCACTGGCTGCTGGCCGTCGCCTCGATGGCGCAAGCACTCCGAAGTGGATCAACCTCCTTGCCTGAATGATAACGAACTCGCGTTCTACAAATCTCGATTACTTTTTCGAAAGGACATATCAGCTTTTGTAAACAACGCAATTTATCGTCGGTTTGGCGTAATTGATAGCTCACACACGCATACTAACGCCTCTATATTAGGTAGGGGGAAATTTACAAAAGCTGATACGTCCCTTCGAAAATGTAATCGAGAAATACTTCTTGGGCTGTGTCCCAATTTCCGAGTTAAATTTGACTCGTGGATAAACGTGACATTTCAAAAGTTATTTTCAATGTTAGAATATACCGGAAATTTAACTCAGCCACGGTTGCCAAAATTTCACACACGGGTTGGACATTTATGCGAGATTTCGAGAATCGTGAATATCTCACGATTAGAACATTTTAGCTTGAAATCCCTCCATTTAATTCTCGGTACATCTCTTATCTATTGATTAAATTAAAAAATACTAATTAATAATTATTTAAGATTTCGTGCGTTTTGTGAACTCAAATCCATTACTTTTCCTAAGAAAACGGGGTATTTCTGTGGTGGGAAAAAAGGATTTCCCTACACAGATTATAGATTTCTATAATATATTTATGCTTTTAGATAGGCTATGAAAGTCCACTTGGAAAATTATGCTATAGAACGGTTTATAAAATCCCAGATTTTTTGCTGATGGGGGCGAGGCATAGCAAGCCGTTTGATTGCAAAATTCTTTGAGTAGGAGGAACTTGCAATGCTTATCTCTTAGCATAAATAGAGGTACCGTCGAGATTTTTTCAGGGCTACACTGCAAACATTATTTCGTTATTTCCTTCACGGTCATTTCGTAAAAATGATTTTCGTAGATATAACAATTGTTTCGTTATTTGTGCGAATCGTTCGTATTGCATTTCAACATATACAGGGTGCGTGACGAATTTTTGCAGTAAATGGCATATTTGAGAAAAAATACACCAGTTAGTTATTCTAGCAATGAATTTTGTGCGATTTATTTTCTTTCGCAACATATGGAAGTTGTAAGTAAATTTATTCAAAAAAATTGCCTTCCCTTTCGACGACTGTAGTTAGACGCTTCCGGAAACTGCAGTATGCACGTTTTAAAATGTTTCGATCCATAAATGTCATCACTGCCTTGATTTTAGCTTTTAGCGACTTAAGTGTGGTGTGAGGGGTTCTATTGGTATCCCGTTGGACGACGCTCTATACAAAATAATCCAACGGATTGATATCGGGACTGCTTGGGGGCCAAATTTCTTCCTCCCAAATTTACGAAATATTTTCCGTAAGCCATTTCTGTGCTTTATTAGCAGTATGAGCAGGTGCTCCGTCTTATCACTTTCCCAAGCCTTTTTTAATATTATACACTGTTCTTTCAGACACATTTACCGACCGAATTATTTCTTTCATGCATACTCCGGCGCGCAACAAAGCGACAACGGCTGACAGATTGCTCTCTTGTTTCGACATCTTTACGTTTCATCAACATTGTTTGTTTAAATCTTACACCTAACAGTATAAGCTATCCAGTGCTGCCAAATATATCTAAATCATGATGCACAAGCATGAGAAATTACTATTTGAAATTTACTGCAAAAATTCGTCACGCACCCTGTACAATGCCAACATTACGCATAATTCGTACAATACAAGAACAGTCTTTCGTATGGATGTCAACACTGCCTACAAACATCATGTGTGCATTCGTGAATACTATGAAACCATTTGTTCACCTACGAAAATCATTCGTTTAAACAAGCTCTTATAAGCACGTTATTCGTGAACATTACGAATCTATTCGTTGGGACACTAATTGCTTTCGTTCGTAGTATGAATGTTCACGAGTCAGTTGTAAACAAACATTTTGAAGTGAGATTATGTACGTCGTATCAAAAATCGATATTGTTTTCGATTCGGTGGTGTCCTCGTCGGACTGAAATGGTGTTGTGTGACTATGGTTCGCTATTTGAGGAGGAACAACATGACAGTTTAAGTCTTCTGCGCTGCCGAGTTGTTTAAGGATCATCTCTGAAACAAGCAGTCAGGTAAGTTCAGTGAGAAATTTACAAGCGTGACAATTGCTGATTGAACTTATCTCTTTCTATCTGTTCCACAGCCTGACGATCATTTCTTCGACGAGAATGAAGCCAATTCACAGTGGCTGGCGCACCCAGACCGCAATCTGGACAGCATCCTGATACAGTGGTAGACATTCGTTTAGCCGAGACCCAGTTTTTCTATGTGTATAGAAAGTAATACACAATGAATGCTCGGGTTTGGTCTTGTACGATAGATTTCATTTATTTCTAACAAATTCATTAATAAAACTTTAAATTACGTTACGTTTGGATTACAAAATTGAAAAAAATATCGGTGCACGGGTAGACATTCGTTTAGCCGAATTGTTAAATTTCACCATGAAGATGACTTTTAATAAAGAATTTCGAAGAAAATCGATAGTTAATACTTAGCATGGCCGCCATCGTTACGAATCACTTCAAAAATACGATTTGGCATCGAATCCGACAGCTTTTGCAGTGTTGCCATGTCAATTTTGGCCCAACAATCTTGAACTGCTGTTCTAAGACTGGAAATGCTGTCAAACTGACGTCCGTTTGCGTAAACCATTCCAGCCAAGATTCCCCATAGGTTTTCTATGGGATTACAATCAGGACTGCAAGCTGGTCAGTCCAGCAGTGGAATGTTTTTTTCATCAAACCAAGCCTTGGACTGTTTCGAGACGTGCATAGATGCATTGTCCTGCTGAAAAACGATGTCCTCATTTGCGTCGTTTTCAATATGACCGATCAAAACGTCATCCAGTAGCTCCAGGTACATTTCGAAATTCATCCGGGTTGAGATGAAACAAATCGGAAGCTTTGCATGGTAGGAAAAGCAGGCCCATACCATCAAACTTCCACCACCAAAGTTTCGCTTCGATCTAACGACGCTGGTTTGATTCAAATCGTGCCAGTAGCAACTATAACAATCAGGCCCGTCTAAATTAAACTTTTTCTCGTCAGAAAACACAACACTACGCCATTCCGTCTTCCACTCCATGTACTTCCGGGCGAACTTCAGCCGATTCTGCTTATGAGTGAGATTGAGCTTCGGTTTTCCTTGTAGTTTCTTCCACTTGATGTTTGGCGATTCATTCAGAATCCGCGCAATTTGTCGGGAAGTAACCGGAACATCGAGCTTTTGCTTTATTTGGGAACAGGACAGTCGATTCTGTGTTGCTTCATGCCTGATTTGACCTTTCATCCTTAACGATACTTTGGTGCGCCCTTTGGTGGCACGTTTAATGCCATATTTCGAACCCGGCCGATTGAGACATTCGAGTGGCCCTCTTCCTTGAACAATCTTATAATCCGCCGTTCTTCCTCCGTCAGTCGGGCACCCTTCGCCATTCCTGAAACTATTACATTTGTCATTAATCAATAAAAATTAAACACCGCATTATTGACACACCTTGTTGATTTTAAGTTGTTTTATCGAAATGCTTTAAAACACACTTGAAACCCGCGAGAAATTTGCCAAAAACAAA